ACGACACTTGTTTTGATTCCGTGAGGAAGTACATATCAGTCTGCTCTAGATTGCTAACGAGTTTAAAGAAGTGTGAAATCCAGATAGAGGGCATTCTGTGTATTACAAATGACTCTAGTTGAATGAAACTTTGTAGTGCTTGACCTGTAAAACTAAAAGAGTAATTTGACATACTACTTAATCACTCAGTTTTAAAGTAGTTTAATATCTAAAATACTAGACAGAAAAACGAGTGTAAAATAAGTTTGAATTTGGAATAAAACAATTCCAACAGTGGTGTGAACACGGGCAGTAATTTTGCTCGAAATATCACCAATAACAAAACTCATCATTGTGTGTAAACTATTAAAATATAATTATACTTTATTTGAAGTTTGAATTGTGACTAAAAGATTGCTGGCTGCTAGACAGACGACTGCCCCAATCATTCGACTGCAGATGATCATATGAACAACCAATGAAACCATTAATACTCTCTCTCTATCTCAAGATGTATTAATTTCACCCATCAACACATGGTGACTAATGTCACGTGTTTAGTACTCATTGATTATGCTGACTAGATTTTTTCGAGTCAATTTTACAAGTACCGGTCATCAGACTAAGTAAGTCGTCATCAAATGACTGACAGAATTTCGCCCAGCACCGACACTGAGAACTAGACACACATGACATTTAGTTATTCCGTAGTGATGAATCAATATATCATTTCGCCTTACAACAAGCAGTGAATTGTGAGCCTGTAAATCTCAACAGTAACGTCGCTGATTGCAGCACTTGATGACATGGCTTCGAATACCCTAGGTGACGGGGGGAGAAATCAATCCTCTCAAGATTGCAGATACACTCCATTGACGAGTTCAAATAAGCACGAAACCTAGACTGAAGGCTTTCTGCCTTATCATAAAACAATAGTTAAGAAAAGCCTGAGACTTTCACATTTTTATTATCGTAAAATGATAGTCAGTTGGTTTGGGAAAACACATTTGTACATCCCCACGATGCCACGTTAGGTAAGGGATTTTAAAAAAGTTTGTTGAATCACTAATAATGTAACGTTAATGAAGTCACTCTGTTCACTGATGAAATTTGAACAGATATGAAGCGATCATAGAGTAGTAGTGTGGTGAGAACTGTCTGCTAGCCAAATTGGTAGACAGTAATTTATGTGAATGTTTACGTCTCCAATATTGGTCGTCAGCAGACTTTGCGTAGGCGGATACTATTAGCAGATAGATGATTTGACGTTCACGAAACAGCCACAAAGAGTTGAAAGATTAACTTTCAGTGAAAAACAACCAATCAGAAGACTGTGTTTTTCTGCTAACAATAATCTATAATAATCTACATGAAAATCTATAAATATGTGTTGATTTCCTTAATAAACGATCTGTTTCCTGGCCCTTATCTTCTGTTGTTACAGTAGTATATTTTGACCCCTGAAATACTCCTCTCCTCACACCTCCTTGTGTTCCGAATGGATCATAGGTCTTCAGGCGCTTGAGCTTTGAAGTTTCCTTGGAGGTATCCTTTTCGCGGTGTGGGGTTGCTACCCTCGAACCCGACCAACCTTCTTTATCAGGCTTACAACAGACGCAACAAGCTTATGAACAAGTCAACCTGGAAATGAACTCCGACAACCTACGTCTGTCTGTTTTCGACATAGAACTTTGCATCGATGTACAGCAGTTCAAGTCACAACACTCCATGTAGCACACAAAGCAAGGGAAGAAATGCATAATAGAGACAGTAAACAGAGGTGTGAGACAAAGGAAGAGTAATAACGAAGAACAATATAGTTTCATTGGAAATCATAGGTCACAAGAAGTGGATGCATCAGTGCCATTGAGAACGATTTTGAGCCATATCACCAATCGTCTCCAGCCTCCATTGGTTTTTACCGTCCCGAGGACCCCAACCAGATTGGAAGTCTACACTTCCCTACGTGGCTGGCTTAAACTAACTGTTGCAGATTTCATTAACTGGTTCCATTGTTTTAGTTTGAACGCCGCTAGCCCTTTTCCAAATTGACCCTATGTCAGCTAACATTGCCCATCCAGGAAGGCGATGGCTAGGGATGCATTCGTAACACATTTCCTAACCATCTCAGTCTTTGTAACTTCACAACTTCGTCGATTGAGTTCCCCTGTTTACCTAGCACTCGACGCCTAACCTCAATATTGCTCACCTTATTATGCCACTTCACACGGGAGATAGAACGCAGGCACCTATGATCAAAGGCAACCAACGTGGTTGGCGAGCATTCTGACTGACAGTTAAAATACAACTGTTAACATCTAGCGGCTACCCAAAGAATGCCATGTTTATTGGTACAGCATTTTCATCCGCTTTAGTTTACGCATGTGAGACATGATCACTGTAAATAGAAATTCTGAAGACATACAAGCATTCTGATCATCGGTAACTCCATCCAATCGCTCTTGTTGAGTACAACTAAATGTCAGGTATCAATGAAATCGGATGTAGAATGTTAAGTAGGGAGGATACGTTTATCAGAAAAAGTTACCAAACTTCATCCAATGATGTGACAAGGACATTTGCTACGCACATCAATCAGCTGTTTTTCAAGACGGCACATCTTATCTCTAGTCAGGTTACCTTGGATTGGAGTTAAAAGTAGTCAAATGAAAACATACTGTCACTGCATGAAAACACTGACTATGGGGGGTTGGAGTAGTCTGCCGAAAAACTGTCCCCAAGATGCTAACGAATTAGTTGATAAAGTATTTATTGTAAAAATGGCGTAAAACCATTCACACTGGCGCCATATCTTCATATATCCTTCAATAATCTTAAATTAATGATTCACTACATCGCACGCAGGCTTGTTTCTCCTCGTATTACTAAGTCACTGTCCCCACACCTATTTTGTGTACTTTATCAAAATGCGACAATGTTAGCTGACGTTAGTGAAAACAAAACAGGTAGATCAGAGAAGAGTCTCTTTCGGCCGAGAACTCATTTTCTTAGCTGTACAATCGCAAATATGTACGTGTTATTTTGTATGTATGTGTACATTAAATCTGTCAAACAAAATTACAATTGGTTATGGTCACTTTAATTAAACAGGTGAAAATTGGTAATACAAGTCAAGAAAATTAGGTGTTAGTGAAACTAGGGTAGTAACAAAGGTGATGGGTTGTCACAAACAGTTGTTAAAAGAAGTTGTGTAATAATACGAATAGTTTGATGACTGAGATTTACTCAGGTTGCACATAGGAACAAAGTAGATAATACGAAATTACGTAAGAGTTCTAAATGAACTGAAGAATTATAAGCAATTACAGAACAGGCAAGCAAACAAAATTAAGTCACCAAAATAAAAAAATCAAATCAAAAAATTTGTTGCCATGATAGTAGAAGTGATTGAGTAATCCTCTTTTGTAAGTACAGCTCTGGTTTTTCTATGTGAATGGCCAGAGCTTCAGTGATACAAGGAAGACGAAACCGTATTGCTTTTGATAGGTTATTCTTGACTCTGTAGATTACTTTGAAGCTGGAGGCGTTTGTTAAGATGGAATGATCAGTTTTAACCAGGTGTGCAATTATCGCACTCCTTATTGCACTACTATCGCCTTTCGCAACCATACTAGATAGTGTTCTTCAATCGCGTCGAACGACCGATGTACCTGGCTGGCTCCACAACATACGGTGAACTGATATATGCACGTACTAGTGTTAAGATGCTGGACTTTGTCCTTAAGGCTACTGCAGATAAGCAGGCGACTGGATAACACTGTTCTCAGAGTTGCTGAAAAGCATGTTCTTCTCAGAGGCGATACGATCCTTCTCTTGAGAATATCACTTGTAAAATCCCCCTTGAAATCCAAGATCACGTAGATTTTGTTTTTCGGCTCAAGTCAAGTTTCATTTCTCCAAATTCTTGGTTTGATATTTTCGTCAATGAATTTTGGTGGGTATCCATTTTTGATGGAGATTTCTGTCAAGAGATCTAATTCTGTTTATAGAACATCGAGGCTACAGAGGCGTCGGAGGCGGGTAGCAAGTGATTTAATAAAATTCCGCTTTTGTTGAATGTGTACCCAGCTAGAGAAGCTTGTTAGCTGACCATTCCAAATAGCTTCTTTATGGATCGATCTTCCTAGACTCCCATAAGTTCTTCTTTGTAAGTTCCACGTCAAGAAACGGAATTTTCGACTCGTTTTCCATTTCAAGAGTAAATTCTATTGCTGGATGGCAACAGTTAAATGTCTTCAGCAGCAGATTTGGGTCACTGTTGTTGTCGTCCACATATCTTTTATACAGTCGTAAATTGTCAATGCTCAGCTTTAGTGGACCTCTCTTAAGGCTTGTAACGAAGCAATCTAATAGTAGTAGACCCAACGGAGATCCCATTGTAATACCATCTTTTTGTCTGTAGATGGTGTCATTGAATGTGAACTGCACGTTCAGAGTGCATTTGATTTTTTTTATTTTGGTGATTTCATTTTGTTTGCTTGCCTGTTCTGTAATTGCTTATAATTCTTCAGTTCATTTAGAACTCTTACGTAATTTCGTATTATCTACTTTGTTCCTATGTGCAACCTGAGTAAAACTCAGTCATCAAACTATTCGTATTATTACACAACTTCTTTTAACAACTGTTTGTGACAACCCATCACCTTTGTTACTACCCTAGTTTCACTAACACCTAATTTTCTTGACTTGTATTACCAATTTTCACCTGTTTAGTTAAAGTGACCATAACCAATTGTAATTTTGTTTGACAGATTTAATGTACACATACATACAAAATAACACGTACATATTTGCGATTGTACAGCTAAGAAAATGAGTTCTCGGCCGAAAGAGACTCTTCGCTGATCTACGTGTTTCGTTTTCATGAATGCCTGGATGGGGATTATCCATGAATGTCAGTTGGGGCATTTCTGTGTAGAGTGGAATGCTGATCCACCCTTTCAGCAAAAAGAAATCTGAAGCTAAACTTCAGATTAAAATAACTCCCCTTCTTGACGTGTAAAATGGAAGATTGAATAGAAGACGAAAAAAGCATTTCAAAATTTTTTTATCATTAAAGATGAAATGCACACAGATAGAAAAATTCAACTAGCTCTCTCTTTCTCTACACGCAGTGTTACTGATTATATTACAACTCTACACATCCATACACACACACACATACAGACAAGACACGAACAGAACGAATTCATACATTTACAACACTATTTCGACGGGGCGGGGGGGGGTGAAAGAAGGCAGGCTAGGGAAAGTAAGGATGAAATGTATTAAGGGATAAATGGTGTACTGTATACTTTAAAGTGAAGATGATTCATCCAGTTATTGTTATTTTTGTTGTTGTTAACGCTGCCTGCATTGAGACAACTAACACTAACTAATGACATACAAAAAAAAACACTCTAAAGTAACAATACCAGCGGTAGCAATTGACAATAATAATAATAACAACAATAATACAGCTGTTGACAAAAAGGTGGTTATTTCTAGTATTACAAGAATACAAAATGAAGGAAACTAAATTACTTTCAGTAATAAATTTTACGAAACAGCTGAGCTCTATACTAAACACGCGTAAACACACACATACACGCGTGCGTGCGTGCGAGCACGCACCTAAACTCTAACAGATATGTATAATATATATATGGTGTTCAACCTAACTGTTCAATTTTACGACATATTTCTTTTGTATACTCCGAACAGGTTGAATGACCGCCAAGATCAGCTGTAAGACACTAGAAATAAAAAGAGAAACAGGAAGAACAAATAATCAGTTTGATGATTTAACTTCATACACAAAAAAAACTTTTTTGAACAAAGAAATTTGCAGGCTGAATGTAAAATGACCTGATCTTTTTCAATTTAATGGATTTATGTTAGGACAAACATGCTTCTTTGTTAGCCGCACAGTAGTTAACCTTATTGGACAGTTTTGATTCCCATTACATTTTTGTGGCTTAATTTTCTGAGGGATTCAAGTGTTATACAACCAATCAGATTTGTCTTATTTGTGTTTAATTGGTGGATGGTGGCTAGCAGTGGAATCCAGGATAATGCGCATTTCGTCCTACTTGGGACTCGTCATCTGGTTCAACCTGTATTTATCAGTGAGTGATGATGTCCCCACTGAGGCTCGGTGGATTACAGTGTCCGTGGCACAGTGGTTACGACTCTCGCCGACCATGCTCATTCCGGGGTTCGACCCCCTGCTGATGCACACCTGATATCTATGGTCGGTCTGCAGGATTTGGGCTACCGATATAACATGCTGAAAATTCCATACTTGTACCAAAAATACGGTGTGGAATCAACCTATAATAAAAAAATAGTTACCATCCACCAATTAAATACTAATTAAATGCCTAGACGTCGTCAAAGCATCTGCATGAGAAGCCGACATGTCAACTTGAGACCGAGCACTTCGGTCGAATCAATCGACGGGAAAATCTAAAATTCAATTAAATGCCTTATTTGTGGTTTAATTATTTTGACGGTTTGGTAAATTCGATAGGTTATATATTTTGTTTAATAAAGGTTGTCGTTTCACAGTCGTCATTATTCTTACTTCCACTCTTGTTTCTCTCAGTGCAGGAGATAATTTCAAATGATCAAATGGTTACAATGTCATGTTCTGAAGGTATCATTCCAGTCAAGTTGGACGAAGACCACAAAATCATCACACTTAGCCATAACAGTTGTGTCTTCGACTGCAAACAGCAACAAAAGGTTATATAAGCTACATTAAGTAAACATGGGCTTGAGGAGCATTAAAAAATTCTTAACGCAATAATGGAACATTAATCATACGAATCGGGTGGATAGAAATTTACAATTGACTAACTACTGATGACAGCTAAAGACAGTAAAGTATCGTTTGAAGGATAACAGTCTTCAATTATAAGTCTTTACCAACTGATATGATTGCTTCATAAAAAACAATACTGATCGGGTCCCAGTGGCTTAATGGTCTACGAGCTCACTAGCCTAGTAACCAGAAGGTCCTGGGTTCGAACCCCGATCATTGGGTGCGTACTGCTGAAGAGTCCCAAACTGGGTTGACGAAACAACTGGATGTCCAGTACTCCCAGGTTTTCCAATGGTTCTCTAACCAATGTCAGCTCATGATGAAATCCTGTAACCAATCGACCAAATCCCTACTAACCAATACTTGAATACTGATTGAAATAGAAAATTAACTTTGAGTGGAAAATTTTAACCATAACTTGGGACTTATTTATGACCTTGGTTTTGTCTCTTCATCTAAGATTATTATTATTATTATATCCTTTGATTCCTAGAGGAACATACGGATTCAGCCGCGCGTCTCCACTGCGTTCGGTTTTCTGCCTACTTTTTCACCCCCCTCCAAGTCACCCTTGGACGACCGATTGGCGCTTCCTATTCGGGATCCACTCGAGAGCTTGTCTAGTGATGTCACTTGACGGTTTTCTCAGAGTATGGCCAATCCAGTTCGATTTCTTCCTGCCTATTTGTTGCACAAACGGTTCCTGGTGGGTTGATTCGCTCCCAGAGATCCCTGTTGCTGATCTTTTCTGGCCTGCCGTCTGATCTTGAGTATTGAGCGAAGACAACTGTTGATGAAGGTCTGAAGTTTGTTGGAGATGCTCTTTATGATGCACCAAGTCTCTGATCCATATAGTAGCACTGACTTCACATTGGAGTTGAAAGTCCGGATCTCATTTTTGATGGTGAGTGCTGTCGATCTCCACACAGACTTCACGTGAGTAATAGAAGCTTGTCTCGCTTTCCGGATCCTTGCTTTGATATCCTCGTCAGTTCCATCCGCCTGTAGTTGAAACCATGCTTCCCATGTTGGTAGGTAAAGGAGGTTGTTTCCTTCAAGTTCCTCCCGTTTATGCTGATTGATGTTTGATGTTGACGATGTTGCTGGTGACCACGAATCTTCATCACCACGTCTATTTTATCTATTTTCACATGAAGTCCTATCTTTTGTTGATGCTTCTTCTGCCAACTTGTTGCTTTTCACTTGCATATCTTCCAGTTTATTTGTGGGAAATCAGACATTATATGATGGTTGAAGTCCATATCCTCCAAGTTTTTTATGTGAATCCAAATTATGCCTGTTTCCTCACTGCCTCTGGCCCGTTGTCTGTCGCATTATCCAATCCACTGCAATCAGGAAAATCATTGGCGATAGTAGACAGGCTTGCCTCACTCCCGTCCTCACTTCGAAGGGTTCTGAGAATTTAAGGTTACTAAAATTCACTTCTAAAGATGTGAGGAATGAAACAGGCAGAGAGGACATATATGAATTTCTACATCTCACGAACTGTTTGTTTGTTTGAGCTCACTTAATCATCTAAGACAGATCATTCAAGTTATGCGCTTATATGAGCCACAGTTGTCCCGAGAAAGCTGATAATACTACTACTAGTAGTACAACTCAGCTGACTAGGAAGAAGTAAACAGAACGGGACTCGAACCTCACAACTCGTTGGTTGAAAGTCATATGTTTAAGCTAATGATTGGTGAGCACCATATTTCTATCTAATGAATTACCACACTGTATAAAGTTATGAGGTCAGTTGATCTTTGTGTCTGCTTTCAGACAAAAACATAAATAGTAATAATAATCAGCGTTAAAGAGTCGTCCAATGGAATGTACATTTTAATACAGACACATTTAAAAGAAAAAAAATTCTTTAAAAATAAACTTTCAGACTGAAGTACTGTCAGAAATGAAAAAGTTATGTTCTGAGATACATGTATGTTAGTCACCACTACATCGAATGCATTGATTTTATAACGATCAGATTATCTAATGACTACGAACTAGAGATACAATATATATCTGTCTGTTTTCGATAAAGAAATTTGCACCTATGTGGAGCAGTTCAAGTTGCCACACTCCCTACATGTAGCACACAAAGCAAGACAGGAAAGTAGAAGAAATGCATAACAGAGACACTAAAACAGAGATATGAGACAAAAGGAATAACAATAATATCGAAGAACAATACAGTTTCATTGGAAATTGTAAGTCACAAGGAGTGGATGCATCTGCTCCAGCCATCACCGAGAACCATTTTGAGCCATATCACCGATTGTCTCCAGCTATCAATGGTTTTTACCGTTTTGAGGACCCCGACGAGGAAGTCTACACCTTCCTACGTGGATTTCAGTGACTGATGAAGCCATGCTTGATTTCACCACCATTGGCTTTTCTCCAACCTGACCCTATGTCAGCTAACATTGCCTGTCGGACGAGGAAGGCGATGACTAGGCATACGTAACACATGTCCTAACCATCTCAGTCGATGTAATTTCACAGCGTCGTCTGTTGATTTCCCCTCCTTACCTAGCACTCGATGCCTAACCTCATTATTGAGATATATTATGTATAGTGGCTAAGGTTTAGACGGAATCAACAACAGTAACGTCACTTAATCAATTATGCTTTAGTTACTGTTCTTAAAAGTTTGACTTGTTTTGCACAAAAAGAAAACTACATAAGTGTAACAAAACACATTGCGTTCTGAAGCGTGTGGACGGCTACGCACACCATGGGACTTGACTTCTTCTTGAGGTATATGAAACATAAACAGCATTAGTGTTGCATGACTGCACAGCCCAGGAGATAACCACTAGAAGCTAGGCATACACCGTCGCATGTTTGAATTGGTTTTTGCGGTTGCGCCTGTATTACAATATTACCGTCGACTACGGACAGCCACAAAGTAAGACGGGATGTGTGATTTTTTGGGAGTTGACTTTTTCTAACTACCCTCTCCAGAGAGGAGAGACAGTATAACTGGCTTTCTCGCCAACTGAGAGGAACAATTTATTGTTGTTACACCCCTATTCGGCAACAGTAAAACATCATCTACAGACGCCTTACACAGTGTAGAACTTACACTAACTGTTTTTAGTCTAACCGCTGTCGCAACCACCTTCCTGACAAGGTCGGATCTGCAGGGACATTAATTCCAGCCAGTGTAACTTGTTGGGAGGTTGAGACAAGCCATCACGTGAGGGTAGCAACTACCGGTCAGAAGGCAAATACACGGATAAGAAAAAGTATTCAAAGAAGTGTGGCAAGTATTAGTGACATGAATTAATAACTAGTACATGTGTAACGTATTCGGCAAGAATATTGAGTGACAAAGTGACAGGTAAAGTTGCAATAAGGTGAAATGAACATCATTCTGAAACAATACAGAAAGCATGAAGGAAAGGCGAAAGAGACGCAACAAAAATAAATTTTGCAAATTAGGGGATCAGTGTAAGGTTTTTATATTCAGTCATACTATGTCGCCGGATAAACAAATCTACGATTACATACTACTGTGTTTCACCATCACATGGGAAATTTCCCAGATGTCTTTCACTTAAAAATTGATCATCTGTCTGAGCAGAGAATTTTTTTGCAAACACTGACAGCTGGGACGAAATGCGTATGAGCTATGAGTAAACTATATTCCATTCGTATTAAAACTTCCTCCGCTTTCGAAAAGATACAATTAAAGTATTTAATGATGATTTTGTGTATCGCTGAAGAACGGGAAGCTGAGTTCAGTGGACACAGCACTGAATAATGAAGTGAAGAAGTGTCAGAAAGGACAAATGATAATTCTACGACACACTAGCTAATTGGAGGAAAACAGAGTATAGGTAAAGGAAACCGCAAAACATTCTATCAGATAATCGGACTGCTCGTTATCCAATAAGAGATCAACCCAGATGATGAAACCAA